TTTCAATTACCAAAAAAAAAAAATGCTGGAATTCCATTTTCCCACCAAAATGGTGGAAAAATGAATTCAACAAAAACCAAGAAAATAAGGCGCGTGAGGTAGAGAGAGGAAAAACATTTGCCTAAAAAATTGTCCATATCAAACATGACTAAAAGTGAAAGTTGAAATTTGATTTCCATTTACCATGGAAAATATGGTGCATCAAACAGGCCCTTAGGGTCGGTTGCAAACCAGTCACGAGCTTCTTTGTTGGTATTTAAATCATCAACCTTATATTTTAGGAGCAATTCAGTCATCTTGGATGGACAATATCGAATTATGATGTTAAATTTAACCCAAATATAATAAATTCACCTTCAAGTTCAAAAAAATAAAAAAGAAAGGAAAAGAGTATCTTACACCATGATTATCAAACTTGATAGCCCTTGAATATTGTGGGCTAGGGCAGTTCAACATATCCCTAATCTTGCCATTTATATATTCTCGAATCTCATTCACTAATGCGTACCAAGCATTCGATGTCTCATTCAGACAATACATGCACTTTATATATCAGGAGGCACACAACACAACAGAGAAATTATATCAAACAGGTAGACCTTACTCTTCATCCACAAGTACAAAGTTGTCTCATAATTGAAGTTTTCTGCACCCTTGATTAAAAAAAAAGGGTGTGAAAAACAAATGACATCGAAATTGGAAGCTTAATGCTGATCGCAAAAATCAGAACTCTAACCCTAGCAGCTACACAAAGAAATCCACTCCATGCCAAGTTTAGTCCGGTAGTTATTTGAAATTATTTGCTAACATCCTATGTAAAGATCAATTCATTCTAGACTAAAACTTTCTTTTATCCAACCCTCCCAAATCTTGAAAAAAAGAATCAATTTGGCTATTCCTATAAATAAGAACTGCTTATACATCGATGGTTAATTCTCTTCAAGATAATGTCTGGCTAGCATGTTGTGTCTTAACTAGTTATAATCAAAACTTGAGTAGACAAGCCAAAAGGGAAGAAACTAAACAATTATGTGAAAATATGGTTAGTAAATTAATGTAATAATTAATCGAATCGATGTTTCATTTCAGATGCTAAACATTGTGTAACTCAACACTGAAGATTACATTATCCTACCTAAACATAATATATAGACAAAGCATGGTCAAAGATCATTCCCCCTCCCTCCTATAAAATCCCATAATAGACCTAATTTACCCTAATACATTTTCGAAGTGTTAATAATCTAAAAAGATACTACAAGGGGTTACTTACCTGAATTAGTGCTGCATATGTTTGCTTCAAATGAAAATAACAGAAAAAATGCTTTTAAGTTTTGGAATTAGCTTCTAGGAAGTGAGTTAAGTGAGACATGAGAACTCCCTATTTACGGTGTCACGAATAACTCTAAAAAGAAATTTTCTATAAGAATTATACTATCGAATAATCCACATAGAAATAACAGCAGACAATTAGAAAAAAAAAGGTATAACCTACAATATTATGAAATTCTTTCCTTATCTTTAACAATCCTAACCAGTGCAAAGGGTAGAGCTTGTTGAATAAATGTAGGGCTCTCTCTCATCTCAATTTACTAATATTTGCATGGACAACTAGATGACCTACAATAATGGGAATAGCTAGTGAAAATATTTTGAGGAATCAATCCAAGGGTTCTATCTTCATGCACAAAAGAGTAAGTGTAGACACTAATTGACACTTACGAGATGGCTTTTCCGAAAGCTCGGCCAGACTACCTACCACTAGTCTTCGGACGAAGGGGTTTATTGCACAAGAACACCGGTATGATTAATCAACATTTACGAGGTGAATTGTGTTCTCTCTTTGATTAATTTGAGATGTTTTCAAGTAAAAGTTACCCAAAATACAAGCTGATTCCCCTCCTATAATATATATATTATACATAAAAGACAACTCATCCTGAAAAAGAGTACTAACAAAACAATAGATGTAGAAGAGGAATCTATACTTAATTATAACAACTGTCTATTAGTTTGAATTGATATATATTTCATGATCATCACAAAAGATTTTTTAATCTTTAAAAATTAATTTCTTTTAGAGACTTGTTTTTAATATTTATACAACAAATTGGGAAGATTTACATTGAATTCAACATAGATTTGGACAAGTTAAATTATTTCAGACCCAGTGGACAACTTGCAATAAAGAAAGAATTGGTCATAACCCTCAAAATATAATTTCTAATTAACTTATAAGTTCCACAATTAATTAAGAGAAACGAGAAGTAATGAAAAGGGTTTGTCACAATTCAGAAGTGAGCCAATGTACAAGATGTAAGATTTATTATGATGATATTACACTGATTTCTCACCTTAATTTTGACCTAATATTGCGTCCGGCCGGCAGTGTTTCCGGTCCATGCACCATCCATTGGCAGCTGCCCATTAGGCATATTCAGTGGTAAATTGAAGAAAGGAAGTCCCACAGATGGATCAGGAAATTGGCTGCTCAAACCGCTACCAGACGGCTGCGACACCGGTGGTTGCATCTGGATCGTTTCGTCTTCGTCCAACGGCAGCCTCTCATAAGCCACGTTGGTGAATGAAGCTGCGATGATGATAACTGGCCCAGAAGCAATCAAAGCACCCACCACATTTCCTCCTACAACTTGGCCTTGTCCACCAGCTAAATATATAGTCAAACTAGTGGCGCCTGGCGGAGCTGGTGGCGGCAGGAAGGAACCAGATAGGGATAAAATTTCGAACCGACCATGAAGGGTCACCACAGAGCCGGCTGAAGCTGGCTGCCGTACAGTAACATTGTTGACAGTACCTGTTCCACCCAATATACAAATCCCCCTTTGTCTCTTCCTTGCATAGATAGCCACTGCCTCAAACACATCGCAGCCACTGCTGACCTCCAGAATATGAGCCCGAAGCGTGTTCGCGCTTTCTCGGGTGATAATAACCGGGGGTTTTGGCTTGTTCTTCGACCCTGGTGGACGGCCGCGCTGCCGACGCGCCACCATGTCACCTAAACTTGTATTGGATGTTCCAAACTCCAGACCTTGATGCGAGTTATCGTTGTTTTCGCCGGAAAACTGATTTCTATTGGTTTCTTCATCGGATTCCTGTGGTCTTTGGAGGTGGAGCTGAGAAACAAAGTGGGAAGCTGAGCCTAAGTCCAAATCAGCCATATACTACAACAAAGAGAACAGGAAACCAAGAAACAATAAAGTATGATTATCAAAAAAACAAATTTTAATGAAAAACAGAATTTTTTATGAGTAAATATACAAATTAAAGCACAAGAATTCAAACCCTAGAACGAATAGAAAACAAAGGAAATCAAGTGGAGAGAAAAGAAAGGATGAGGAAGATGTATAGAGAGAGAAACAGACGGAACCATTCTGAAAATTTAAAGTAAACATATACAGGCATAAAATATGAACATATTCAAAGATGAGGGTAATTAATTATAAGCTGCTTTTGATTAAAATATTGAGTAATTTATAGTGGGAGAAAGCAACAGGGTGCGTGAGGCTGTCTGCATTGTTCTCTGTGTCTATCCTTCAACCCGTTTGACATGTCTTTTGAAAATGTCCAAATGAGTTTTTTGAGACTCGAAAATTTCTTTTGAATTTGTTCAATCAATCTAATAATATATTTAATATCATATCGCAAAAATTATTTTTCAAACGATTTTAACTTTATTATAATTCAATTATTTCAATAATATCTTACTTTTCATTTTTTAATATGTCATTTCACATGTCTGTTTTCATTAATGCATGATTATCCTATTATTAATTTTCAATTAATTAACATTCACATTCATTTAATTAATATTCATCTTCATTTATGCACTTCAGTGTTATTAATTTTAATTATAAGTTAATTAGAAATTCACATTCAAAAAATGTATTTCATCATTCACGTCCATGCATGTTAATTAACATCTAATTTTACTTAATTGAAAATTAAATAAATGATTTAACATTTATTGTCAAGTATATATTTCCTGATATTAATTATAAATTAATTAAAATTCATGCATATTCAAATATTACTTTTACAACACTTATAAAACATTTCATAATAATGTGTAATGCACGTTCAACGTTGACTAGTTCTACAAAAGTATTTCTTCTAATTGAAAGAACTTTTAGAGGAAGTTGGTCCGGATGAGTTCCTCTAAAAGTACGTTAGAAATAAACCCATTTTAAAAATTAATTTTCAAACAAAAATAAAGATAACTTTCTTCAAAAACTTTTCAAAGTCATATCAAACGATATAGAAGAAAACATGTTATAATGATAACTATGCCTTATGCAAGATGAAATTAGGATTTGAATTAATCTACTTTGCGGGATGATTTTAACATCTTGAATGACAAAATTAATCAGGTGTGGCAATAAATGATTGGATGGTAGTATTAATTATTTTTTAAACTGACAAATGGCATTTTGTCAAGTGGCAAATTGTGTTGTAATATAGCAAGATTGTTAGAATTTCTATCCCCACGCCACCCCACATCACTAAAAAATGAATGATAAAAGAGGAGAGAGAGACGAACAAATCCCTTTTCTCTTTTTTAAAACAGCAATCAGAATAATGTAGTCAAAGCGTCCGCAAGAAAGAGTAACATTTTAATCTGATTTCGTTAATTTTCTAGAAAAGAAAAAAAAAATGAAATTGAAGATCATATAATTTACTAGAAAACAACCTATAAATGACTAAAACTTAGTCGACGCTAGCATTACTCGATGAATTCAGATAACAAACTTAATGTCTCATTTAAAAACGTAAAAACTAAGAAGAGGTTCGTCAATTTGTACGAAATTACCAATATCGTTGATTATAATTTTATAATGAGTCCATCTTAATCGATACAACGCCAAAAACTTTCTCATTTTAATAAACTTATTTTTTCATATGAAATGGTTTGATGAAAGTTTGCGTGAAATTAAATAATGAACATCATGGGAATTGTTTACCGTATAAAACATATTCTAGTAATCTTGTCAAAGGCAGTTTTCATAGGACTAAACCATTAATTAAAGGCGTGATTCTCTGTTAGTAATCACTTTACCTGATAAAGGAGGCATTAGATATATATAAAGAGATTGTAAGATCTTTGTTTACTAATTAATATTATTTATTTATTTTTTTTCAAATTGAAAAGACTTAATTGTTAAGTATGAAGTTAACTAATGTAAAGTAAAACAAATTTTTATGTTAATTATATAACTTTTTTCCTCTTGAAATATTTAACTATTATAACAGACTTCTGATAAGTGGATGCTACGTTATCAAATATATATTCCGTAAGACTCAGAGCTTTATTATAATTTTTTTTATGTGAAATAATATTTTGTCGATTTTTTCGTTTTATATTCTCATGTCGATCATTATAATAAATTTGTTCTTACGTCTTAATTGATTAGACGCTGCACCAGATAGTTGCTCAATCGAAACTCTTAGATCTTTTTTTACCAGGTAATATTGTGACAGAATTTTTTAATCAGGTGATTACTATTAATAATGATAAAATAATTAGGGTTTATCAGATAGTCATTTAGGAAGTAATTTTAAAACGATTATGTATTTATTTGATTAAATTTAGGTCGTATCATGTAAAAGTTGAAACCAGTGCCAAATTTTATATGAATTTAACCTGACTTATCATTGATGTGTACGCATATATTTATACAAGGTAATTAGCACAACGTCCCTACTTTTCACTATTATTATGGAAAACACACTTACCTTTTATTTTTTGACATTTTCACCCTTATTTCCACATTTTATTGTGCAAAATGTTATTTTCATTCATTTTTCTCAATTAAAAGGTGTGAAATGACGAATATACCATTATGTTTAAAAAAAGGAACTAATTGCAGCCATTGTCCCAATTTTTTTAAAAAAAGAGCAAACAAGTCCCAAATGAATTATTAAATGATAATTAGCACATAGTGTTCCTACCTTTTACTATTATTGTGAAAAACGTTCATACCTTTTATTTTTTAGCATTTTCACCCTCAATTACACATATGATTGCGCAAATCATCATTTCTATCCATTTTCATCCAATTTCTCAATAAATGGATGTAAAATGATGAATATGTAAGTGTTATACCATATGTCCAATCAACTTTGGATATAAACACTTTTAATATATATAATTGATACATATTAATGGTAAGATCTATTATTTAATTAAATTAATGTTCTAATAAATTAAATAATAGAATCTGTAGATTTAAGTTTTGGTAATTTGTTAATCACAATGAATTGTGATTGTGAGATACAAATTATATATGACTTAATCTTAAATGGTCTGTGGGCTGTGGTTGTATGTAATAACGAGATACAGATATCTTATTACGGATAGACCATCACGTGTAGCATTTCTTATTTGTAAAGTAAGTAACTGATTTCACAAGTTAAAATGTGGTGACACTTGGCATTTCTTATTTGTGAAGTAAGTAACTGATCTCACAAGTTAAAGTGCGGTGACACTTAAATGAACACGTGGATGTTTTATTATAGAGTCGAAAATGAGTTTTCGACTTACATTGACTTAATAGTGAGATGAAAGATATGATCGATAATTGAGATTGACACATATCCATATCTCGTAATTGATCGGATCATATTGACAAAGAGATTACACTTTCACGGTAAATGAACAGTCGTCACAGATGTCAATCTGTGACTACTGGTGTGAATTAATGATAAATTAAAAATAGATATTTTAATTTATCAATTTTGATTAGATCAAAATAATAATTCACGTTGTTAGATATCATGATCGGGAACCTAATGGGTTATATACAAAAGTAAAACTAGAAGAATAAGATTCATCAATTTGTCGTCACGTGTAGTGCCCTCATACATTGCTCGATGTCAATCTTGGACGATGGATGTGAATTAGTGATAAATTAAAAGGGGTGTTTTAATTTATCGATTTTGATTAGATCAAAATAATAATTCACATTGTTAGGTATCGTGATCGGGAACCTGATAGGTCACACACAAAAGGAGAACCGTCTCATTCACCAATTAATAATTAACAGGTGTTCTACAATTAATTAATTGTGTTGCTTGTTCATAAGCCCGAGTTAATTGATTAGATTAATTTATTCATAGACCAAATTTAATTAAGGGAAAATTTCATTAGTAAGACATTAAGTAGACATATTTCAAATTTAAGAAATAAAGTTTACTTTTTCAAAAATCAAATATTAATTTAAATTTTATCTATTAAATATATAATTAAAAATATATTATGATCATAATATTATATAATTTATGGTCACAGTTATGTATTAGTCACAATTATAAATGTCACGGTCACAAATAACGAATTTTACCGGTCAATTTATTTCTCTAACACAAATTAAATAATTTAACTGGTCACATATTATTTTTTTGTTACAAATCACAAATTTTATGATCCGCAACTTATTTCGGTCACAAAATATCAAATTAATTGATCACAAATTATTTTTAGGTCACACATTATCAAATTATTGGTCACAAATTATTTTACGGTCACTATTCAAAAAATTTATAAGTTACTATTATTTATCGATCACAAATCAAAAAAATTATATGTCACAATTTATTTATCGGTCATAAATCACAAATTTTATAAGTTACGACTCAAATTTTTAGGTGTTATTTATTGGTCACAAAAAATCCAATTCATTAGTCACAATTAACATAATAATTGGTCATCCACCCCACGCCATCCTATCCACAATCACCATACTATCGCCACTGCCATCACCACCGCTACCATTATCGTATCACAACCACCACCAACACTGCCTCACAATCTAAAATTCATCATCTCTACCACACCACAACCACCAAAAAATCCCCAAACCAGCCACCTCCATCTACACTTTCAATACACTACAAATCAACCTCCAACTCCGGCCACCACAAAATAAAAAATAAAAAAGGGACGAAAAACCTAATTTTCGTAATGGTCTCAACGATCGGCCCTATTGATTGGAACCTCCGCCACTATTGAATCCAACAAAGCCACCGCCACCCAAACACCACCACCACGAGCATCACCACCACCAACACCAAGATTCACCACCACCAACAAAACCATAGCCACCAACCGAACATAACCTCGCCACTATTAGATCTAACAAAGCCATAGCCACCCAAACACCAC